ATCTTTGTACTGTCGACTGTATTTAATCGGCATTTCCATCGCATCGGCCATGTTGGATTACATTACGTATAGTACACGCCCTATCTTCGTTTACTTACGTTTATACGGGCCAGCAGTTAGTTTAATTCATACTGAATACTCTATTACCTTAGATTGAATATCGTTATAAACCTATAATATGATTACAGTANCTAAGTCTCTGGAACGGAATACATGCACCAGTGAACCTACAACTACGCGATTTATATTTTAAAAATAATTAAATTCACTTAGCATTCAAAACTTGTGAATTTTGAAAAAAACAAATTTGCTGATTAAATACGGACAACCGTTTAACTGAAGTAAAACGGGTTTTCCCCTTGCTATGGATGTCTGCCTAGTTCAGTTTAGCCATATTCCGCTACAGTTTGCCTTTATTATCAGTTCGAAACGGGGTGGTTCCATAATACCCGCAGTGTTCCATAATACCACCTTCTCCTCTATGTTTTTACGCTAGTTCTGTATAGTTGACGGGAGTTTTAAAAAGTCCATTAAAATATTTGATATTTTTATTCCGCTCTCCGATTTTATATTACTCACGAATTTCAATGTCAAACCAGTGATATTATGATTTCGTATATCCTATCTCTAAGGGAATGTAGAAAAAAACGTGTACAATTCTTATATAATGTTAAAAAATTAACTGTTATTTTGACAGTATCATTTACAACTAAATTTAATGAATGAGAGAGACGCACGAGATACAAAAAAAGCTCTAGAATTTATTTTCCTTAAATTTACGATTTATGTATCCGTTTGTCATAAAAATTTGTCTTTCCACTTTTTTCCCGAGACTACAAATATTCGAGTACAAAGTAACCGGTTTCGACTTACTACTTCTTAAGAAGTTAAATAATTAAGCGATTAGGGAATTGGGGACATAAACAATACCCTGATGAAAGAGCCGAAATTTTACTTAAACAAAAGCTTAACCGAACCATCTCTAGCCGAGTACAGTGGAGATTATTTCTTCGTATTATTAATGTAATAAAGACAGAAATTTTTCCAGTTCGATGAGAGTGACCGAAAAGTTGTAAATTTTGGAAATTTCTAAGGACACTTGGATCTAAAACAAATTAGTTAGAAAACAAATGACTATTAAGTTTAACATATTTAGATTTTTACAGCTATGGTGAGAAACGTTTAAAATCTACAACAGCCCTGTCGTGTCCTTTGAGATATACTAGTGATGCGACAAAAGAGGTATTTCACATTGACCGGTATCGGCACCCTAGGGGTTTGGCAGTCTGCGTGTATGCGCGCTCTGCAACCGTCTTCGATTCCATCCATTCTCGTAGGGAGCTATCCCCGCGTTTCTTTATGCAGCGCTCGAGAAGCGCTTTACAGCGAACACACTGAAACTGGTTTCTAATTGGCCAACACTGCTCGTGACGTCATTNAATTACGTGTCACGTTTAACAATTTGAATTGGAAATTGACAGGTACTCCCCTATTTGGTTGGTTTCCGAGATTTTGTCGTAAGTCGAAAACTAACCTGGAAAGTATTGTACATTTGTGCAAAGAGCAACCTCTGATTGTTCGTGTTTGATCCTTCAATGTACTTACAACTTCGCTTACAATGAACGTCGTTTACCATTTAAACTTTCATAATTTTAAGTAAATATTGGCCCTAAACCAATAATAAATAATTTCTTTTGTAAATAAACAAGTTCATTCCAGTAAATCACTATCTTGGATTTCATTAATTCGGAATAAGCTACACAACTAAAATATAACATGCAAATCTTGTAACCGCTTGGCACATCGCAATGAAGTTTGTTCAGAAAGTATTTTTGGAGAATTTTCCGAAATTTTTGATAGTATTTCTTACGTTCACCCGTCTAGCATGTAAAAGACAAGTCACCTTTAGCAATTTATATTAATATCCGTGAAAAATGGAGAGAGATAAAGCAGTACCGAACCAATCAGGAACATTATTATATAGAAAGTATAAAGAAGGAATCTCTTAACGCAGTTTTGCGCAGGATTTGCAGATATCTGAATTTACAGTCTAGGGAATCATAAAATGTTTTCGAGAAAAAGGAAAAGCTTTACGAAGAAACTTATCTCTCGTTTCCACGCAACTATGGCCTTTTCGACGCTAATTTCCCAAAACAGACAAGTTTCCATAGAGGATTTGACAAGGAAATATTCTAATATCCCATTATCTGAATGCACAGTGTGGAGATTATATACGACGAAGGAAATAAAGGCGGTGCAAATCATAAGAAAATCCTTTCATAATTGAATAATTCAACTGAGGACGTTTAGCTTCGTCCAGAACTCACCTGAAGTGGACAAACGTTGATTGGAAGAATAAGTGAATCAACATTTCATGTAAACCATGGGAATATAGACAACAAAGTCATTCGTACCAAAAGTGAAGCTAATAATCCATCATGTCATTCAAGAGGAGCAAAGACGCGCTTGAAGCCACAGTTTCAAGCGCGGTTTTTCACCTAACGGATAGTTTTTTAATGTCCAGTTTAGTTTCATCGGTAATAAATGCAAGAAGTGTCGCACTATCTCCACTGCTAGATTTACGATTACGTTTTGGACGCATTTTAGAAGCACAAATTGTAAAAGTTGATAAAAATTACAAAAATTAGCGAAAACGCTGTTACTCCGAGCTTATCGACTTGGCCGCCTGATGAGCAGCAACGGAACTTTGAGGAAAAGTGAAGATAGGCAATAGAAATAAGCCCGCATTAACGATATATTAAAACTTTAATTTCAGGAAAACGGTCATAAGGAGGAGAGCATCCGTACTACCTATACGGATACATCTTCTACTGCTCGGATCCTTAGAGTTAGTTCTTTCTAAAATGGCCATTTTGTTCCCTATTTTGTCAGTTGAAGTTTGGCGTATTAAAAGTAGGTTATCACCGAAAAGATCGAAGAACGACCCGTCCCACCAACATAGACGGGTCGAAAATTTTAAATATTTCACAGAAAAAGTCGTTTCGTTTAAAACCATGTAAAAAATCGTGGAATTTTCCTAAGGCCTGGTCGGATCGAATGACTCCATCGTTAGTGAACAATAGGTAGACCGGTGAAGAAGTCTAATTAAAAATCGAAACGTCGGAAGTAAGTATTTAGCCTATACCATAGACCATTTTGAAAACGCACACCCGATTTATTAAATAAGTTTATTTTTGCGAAAGGCATTAACATCAAAATTTTTGAAAGTGTTAATACGATTGTTTAAAATTTGCTGTACGTATATGTTTATTTTGTAGTAAGTGATACAAATGAATTAGTCTATTTACTATCGGAAAACTATGGCCGAATAACAGTTTGAAAAACATCGTTATATGTTAATTGGTTGAATATCGACCATACATTCGGATACGACTTAATTAATTATCTTTCTTGTTAATTACGTTGGCAGAGAAGCGTCGTACACTAAATACCAGCAAATTATTTGCAGTTATTTTAACCATTTTAAAACGATTGTCATTCAATTAATAATTGATTTAGAACGGATTCACCGGCAAGTGACCATTTTTTGTTACCAGGTTATGCTCGTATTTCGCCAGGCGCGACGTTGCCGGCTGGCCAAGTAATCCGTTCGATTCCGAATGTAACAAAAAATGTTACCGAAAAGGCATTTTCGCAGTTGTTTGCTGAGATATTTGATAGCCCTTTACTAGAAATATGGACGTGGAAGAACTGTCGGTTCAGTGATTTCTTCTTCAAACTTGAAATTAATGCAGATCCGTTTTAAAAACTATCGAGCTAATTGGAAGAGACTTCGTCGTTAGTTACTCGCGGTTGTAAATGCCCTCCAGTACTATTAATTAGATGAAGGAATAATCTTTGTACTGTCGACTGTATTTAATCGGCATTTCCATCGCATCGGCCATGTTGGATTACATTACGTATAGTACACGCCCTATCTTCGTTTACTTACGTTTATACGGGCCAGCAGTTAGTTTAATTCATACTGAATACTCTATTACCTTAGATTGAATATCGTTATAAACCTATAATATGATTACAGTAAGTTTGAGATTCTACATTTAATTTAAAAGATTATGCGAAAATTTTTATATTATATAATCTCACGCACTATTGTACGTAATTTAAAAAAATAGCACATATGCCCTTAATTTCCTTATAGAAAAACTACGATATTTCCATAAATACTGTATTACAATTTTCTTTTACTTCTCTTACCGTGAAGTCATATATTGATATTGAATATGTTCAGTATAATATGTTATAAAATATTTTTCTATCATAAATTTATTTCAATTTGTGATTGATAGAGAGAATTTAAATTTACACTTTGTCGAAAAAATATTGTAACACATGCACTGAAGATAATATCTTTACTTAGGATAATTACTTGAAAACGCAATTAAAGAAAATGGGAAAAAATTGTCGATAACGTGATTCGGTCGAAGGTATTGTTCACCGTGGTGGGAATTTGGCTGGCTAATACGAGTAACGCATCGCTTAGTTTGCTAAGACACTTCTTCAAATTTAAAGACTTTTCTGTTCGAACTGCCGCGGCAGTAATCTTCAACATCCGCATCTGATTTCCCGACTTCCGGCTTTCTTATTCGTCGTCCACTTTATTTTCGAGGGTCTTTTAGAGTCCAGGGAGCCTTCTAGGTTTCCAATACCTTTGCTTAGCTTGTCTCGAAAACTAATCCGTTTATTGCACGTAAATCTAAGTTTCTGTCGAAAAAGTCTGGAAACCGCAATAGCTACGGATTAGAATTGATACGAAAAATGTACTTTGTACGGCTCGCGCGTCACTTTTAATTAATCTGCGGCTATTATTAAGTAAGCTTACTAATTATTTTGAACGTGCATTTTTGGAGTACGGTTATTAGTGGTAGAAAGTAAAAATATAACGTATGTTTATAAAATCAATTTCGAGTATATATTTATGGAATACTTTATAAAATATTTCGCTGATTAATTATAAAGTTTTCTTTGTTCTATTTTAGGTCGAATGGAGCACATTCGGCGCAATTGCCTGGACAAAGAAGTCAATTTAACTAACAAATGTGTAATTGAAGAACGTATAGGATGGAAAGTCAAAAAGTGCGCGTGCCAATACGATTTGTGTAATACTCATTTATTATCGGGGTCGTTTAAAACATCTCCCGACCTCTTAACCGCTTTCGTAATATTTCTATGTTTTTTCCTGACGTTAAAGACGAGCGACGTGTAGCTTAATGGAAATATTTAACATTCGCGGGCTTAAAACCATGCCGGAGCAGTTCCATCCATCCGAACAGCGCAGCATTAAATAAATATTTCTAATTTTCTAAGTAATACAAATATTTTTATCGAAATTAAAATTTAAAAAATATTGGAAAACGTAAATGTTAATAATTTGGCAAGAGTAAAAAGAATATCGGGCAGGTAAATGCTTATGTAGAGTTTTTCTATCTTGCCTTATTAGTAATAATAATATGAAGCTTTATACGCCGCTGGGATGCCGAAACTGATTTTTGAGCGACGGAACGTTTCGCAGAATAGTTCTTCGTTACTCGATGGATATTCGGAAAACCCGTCCAGTTAGAAATTTACGGATAAGGAAGATTTTTAAAATTTTGTAAAAGACGAAAAGGACGGCCATCTCCTTCCTAGTTTCGTTACAAATACGCTTTTTAAACCACGCGTTTTATAAATGTGAAAGTATCGAAAGAACTTCGTGCGGCCGAAATTAAATCCCTGCAAAATTTCTATTCTAAAATAACAGTATTAGAATTTTATGGTCCAGAATTTAGGAAATAGAACGCTATCCTACGGCTTCTAAAGACGCACATCTCAGGTATTCCATTTCTTTAAATAACAAGATAAGCCCTCTTAACAAAATTTAGGTGTACGGATTTCCGAGAATAGTATTTGTGATCATTAAACAGCCTATATATATATATATATTGAGAAAAAATTTTGGGATGAGAATGTACGAACGAAATATTTTGTTGATATTCTAAATGTTGTAAATACTTCGTACATTTTCCCTAATCCTTACAATAAGTGTTTATGTAATCTTGTCACGTTTAAAATTTCAAATAATTATTTGTTATTTAAAACTATGTGAATGTATTTTATTTTGTACGCAACAAAATATTTTTATGGCCATAATTATGTCTTTCATCAGTGTTAAGTATTTGTCACAATAAAAATATTAATATTTGCATTATTTATAAGCGATGCTTTCGTCGCGATTAACGATAAAACGATCGAACTTGGGTATAGCGACACTGTTCGTTGACTTCCGAAATTTGCGCTGAACCGAACAACGATAAGAATTACTTTCAATATGGATATTGTACGCCAGGCTTCACTGTAATTGTTTATTGAAGGATTACAGAAAGTACCGTAGACGAGATTTTTAATATGAAGTTGAAATTAAATAATAAATCCAAAAGTGCAAAACGTTACAAAATGTCGAATCGTTCATTATACTTCTGTAAAAGTTAAATCAAACTGTTTCGCGGAAAGGAAGTAAAAAATGTATAAAATGAGAGAAAATATATGTATGGATTGTTCTTAAATAGGGAAGGTGACGATAAAATCTCTATATCATACTGGACAAATTTCGGCTGGATTCAAAAAATAAATTAATTAAAATAAAAAATTCAGAAGCAAAACGAATGAAAAAAGAATGCATGAAAAAAAATTTCGCTAAAAAATATATTAATAAATTTACTAAATCTTAAGCAAAACATAAAAAATAATATGTAAAAGACGTAAGCCTTTTGAATAAATAAACATCCGTAAATGTATACATATATAAATTTGGCTAATGAGTGTATATGGGATTTATGAATAATATTTTTATAATTTTTCTCACTTGAAAAAGCATTCGATAGAATCATTTTGTAAGAGTAAAACAAAAGATTTTTATAACTTATTTCCTCTGAAAAATTGTTCTATTTAATATTTTCTTACGGATAAGGTTCGGGTTCGGTTAGTAGATTCATAATTCGCGCGGAACAATTTTTTATGTTCATCTCTAAATCGAAATCTTACGATTTCAAACTAAACTCGAATTTTTTACAAAAAAGAGTGAAAATATATCGCATATTTTAATAGTTCGGTGATATTATTAATAGGAAAACATTTATTTCAAGAAATTTAAATTAAAAAAAAAATATGGAATTCAAATGCCGGTTAAATAAATTTTTATCGCATTTGCATTCAAATATTTATTTTGAGAATGGCGATAATTAACACTAACAATTCCACGTACAGTATTACTTTTCTTATATTATTGTCTTCTTAGGACTTATTATACTGGTGTTTTCGTTTCTGCAAAGAGAGGAAGTCTTATTCAAGTTAACCAAGTGAAAAAACTCGTTATTTTTCACTTGGTTTTTCACCTGTACACACAATATTTGTGTTTCGGACCTCAAGGTTCCTCTTCAGCAGGTTTACATCAACAAGGTTCTATAACAAATTTTATAGTATTGTTTACTGTACATTGTTTTTTCTGAATAAGACTTTGTCTCTTTGCAGAAACGAAAACACCGGTAATAAATTTTAATAAGTCCTAAGTAGACATTTTATACTATTTTTGTTACTGTATATTATTAAGGACATAGAGGCAATTGAATTAATAGTCCACTTATTATTATTATTATACTCTTTATTTCGAAAATTAATAATAATTGCTACTTTTAAATACATTTTACTTTTCTGCTTGCTATGTATTTAACACGGAAAAATATTTGGAAGGTCTCAAATCTCCACGTTTTGAGACCTCCCGAACTCAAATAAAGTCAAAAGGGGCAATTTCGTCAACGTGCGCGTAATTTTTCGCGTGTTGGCGTTTATTTCGATTCATATCTCAGGATGGGGCAACAATTAATAAACGAAATTTGACACGGTAACTTGTGTGCCATGAATGATACTGAATTTTGGTGATTGAAAGTCGAGGTGGATGGAGATACAGGGAGTTACGTGTGGACTTGGACAGGGGTTGGACTTAATGAAAATTTTACTCGTTATTAGCACTTATAACTTTTTAAAATAAAATTCAATTCATCTCAACCTCAAAATTAAACTTTTTATCGTTTTTATAATAATTAATAATATAAAAGTTACTTTTTAACAAAATATCGTAACGGATGGCGTCACACGCAATTTTATTTTTGTGCTAAATGTTTAATATTTTTTGTCGGGGGAAGTTACGCAACACTTTGCAGGCCTTTTTTTTATAATTTATTGAATGGATTCTGTTATTTGATCACAATCTAGTATTAAAAACTCGTTATATTCAAGAAATTTAAAAATACGGTGGTACCTTGACTTACGAGTTTAATTCGTTCTGTGACAGAACTCGTAACTCAAATTACTCGTATGTCAAATTAATTTTTCCCATTGAAATGAATTGAAATTCTATTAATCCGTTCCGAATTCCCCAAAAACACCGCAATTTTTTTGTTACATGTTTTTAAATATGAAAAATGTACTTATAAATAACGAATATTGTATAAAAACAATAGAATGTTCTTCAATAAACTGGTTTTGCAAATGTTGCGGCGTTCGCTGCATAGATAAAGAAAGAAAAGATGGAAAATTGGGGTAATCAGAAATAATGGCTCCTCATACAACATATAAATGAACTAATGTCTATGTCACTCGATCACCTGTTTCTATAAGCTAAGCCTGTCAGACATTGGAAGAGAAAAAAAAATGATAAAATTACGGCAGTTTTAAAATACCTTCTTTCTCTTAATCTATGATTATATAAGTCAAATTCTTAAACTGTTAAGAAAATAAACGAGGGGTTGTGGATGAGACGAGGGAGAACAGAAGAGGAAGACGAGTAAGGGGAGATGACAGCCTCAGACGCGAGGACTGAAGACAGATGCTAGAATATGTTATTGTACTTTCTATTACTATTCCTACAAATTTTTATAGCTCGTCCGCGATTTGGAACGAAATTCATACGAGAAATTTTAGAAGGGACATAGAATGCAGACAAGATGGCGGGGTTATGGACGCTACAGTGAATGACGAAGAACTACGACTGACTATTGTATCTAAAGATAAGAGTTTCACCTCCGTTATCGTTTTATGTGTGCTGATCTGAAAATCAAAGTAGGACGACGAAAATTGAAAACGATGAGTAGCAAGAGAGAGAGTTAGTGGAAAGATTGGTAGCAGCGCTTTTGATCCAAAATGCCAGCGACTACGACGAAGGCAAGGACGAAGATAGTATATTATGCGATATAAAAGGGAGTACTCTAAGGCAATGTTTATCTTTAGAGATGTTGATGAATTCATTGAAACGTTCAGTGGTGACGAAGGGAAGGGAAGTGGTAACGTTAAGTGGATCTGCAATTTCGAAAACATGGCAGAAATGTATAACTGGAATGGTATGCAGAAGATAGTTTACGGAAAACGATTACTCAGAGATTCAGCAAGAATGTACAGTACATACGATATGAACATTGTACTAAAACATGGAGAGCATTGAAAGAGGCTCTTTGCGCTGAATTTGTTCCAAAATTGAACAGCAGGAAGATTCACAAGCAACTTTCAATGGAAGTGAAGCATCAGAGTAATAATTATAAGGAATAAATGTATCGGATGATTGAAATTTCGTCACAAATTACTATTGAGGTAATACAATACATCATCGATGGAATTCAGGATGAGCAAGTAAGTAAAACAGAGCTTTATGATGCTACGACTTTTAAAGAATTTCGATAAAAGCTTAGAATTTAAGAAACCATGAAATCAAGTCGTAAGCAAAATTCTAAAATGACAGTGAGATTCAAGAAGCTACGACGTAAAATTAAGCCTGATAATTCTTATGGAGATGAAAAGCATTGCTATAACTATGACGGAAAAAACCGTATGAGTAAAAATCTGGAGAAAGACAAAGGAATGAAATGTTTTAGCTGTAACAATTTTGCCCATATTTCATTTCAATGTTCTCAAAATGTTGAGAAGAGAAGTAAAGGAAGAATTTAAATCGAAGCCTATGAAAAAAGTCAAAATAGAGGAAGTGAGCTTCTCCTATTTTGACTTCTTTCAGTTATACACTTCAGCAGTGGCGTGCCGTCATTGGAAAGCACCGTTTCCAATACAAGGGAAGCGGCGCATTGGATGCGCCGCTTCCCTTGTACAGTAGATCCCCCTATAAGACGGTAGATACGTTCCGTTCTTTATGAATCAATTTTGTAGGAATCATAGTTTACGGAGTACGGCTGTTTGAAAGGTTTTCTTTCATAAAATTAATCGATTCTAGACTAATTCGACTCAACATTTCCAAAATACGTATATTTTTTTGAAAATAATCCGTATAAACTACGTTATAAACAAAAAATTGTAGGATTGCTTACCGAGTGTG